ATGAACAAAACGAACCCATGAAAATCCATGAACAACACAGTTCTGCTTCAGCGCCAGGCGTACAGGACCCAGCAACCCCCGCACCTACGGCCGATCTGGGAAGTATTTTCGAAACAGAATTTGGAGTATCTTATGACACTCTAGTGACAGTGAACTCCACAGGAAAGGTGCAGAGAGCAGAAGCATTCTTTCTCTTGTTCGAGTCCGAGATACTTCAGAGTGAACTTGTAATTCTCCATGCCTTTCTAAAGAAACATAACCCTGTTATATATACTTGGCAGCAGAAGGATGACTGGGAGAAATTTGCACGAGCTGTCCAAGTAGGGGTGGTTTTGGTATGTTCTGCTTCCAACCGAGGTCGAGATGCACTGAAAGACCAACATTTAAGCAGGTTCACGAGAGCTGGGTCAACTTCAACAAGCTGTCTTTCTTCCAAAATCTCGTCAACAAGCCGATCAACTTCTGGAGCGTCTCTCTGGTCAAACCTCTCCAATATGCCGGTCACCACTCCCACTTCCAGCGCATTTTCCCACATGGCGGGGCTATATTGGTGACGGAAGACATAATGCTCCAGGATCCGAAAGCAACCATGGCGATACTGGCGTGGTTTGCTGACTTCGTCAAGAAGAAGTACCCGGGATATTGGAAGATCATGTTCCGGCCCGCTATCCTGGACTGGATCTTGCAACAATCAGAAAGTGCAGAGGAATCAGCACGCGGAGTGTACGTTATGACCCTTCAGACCCAACCAAAATCCTAATATCTCTAACCGAAAACTCCATCTTCAGATGGCCTACAATGTACCGTTTAGTCTTAGAGTGTTGCGGCGTTCCCGCAAATGACAACCCCGTTGCCGAGTTATCATCCGGAGCCCATGACGACTACCTCGAAAGCAACGCCATATCCCCTCCCAGCCTTCCGAATTATGGCACTCGCACTGAAGCAGATAATCCAGATATCCCCAAAGGCCTAACCCAAGACCAGCGCAATGCAGATCACCTTATTGAATTCTTTGCCGGCTGGGGCCTGATCCATCGCCACCGATACCGACGTTTGATCGTCCTTACGCAAACAACACCCCTGGACCGATGGAAAGAATGGCAACATATCGACATTAAATGTGGCTCGAAAGAGTTCATGAAAGCACTCGGAATCAGCTATAGATACTACTGGTCAAAAGTCATTGCTGCTCCTTCCTCGTCTTCAGCAGCCTCTGCTGCCTCTCTTACTTCCTCTAGACCAGGTACACCGTCTGAAACACGAGCTCCATCGGAGTCCTTCACGCCTCGAACGCCTAAGTCTCGGACTTCATCCATGTCAATGATCAGGGATATGGATGGAGCTAGCTACTATGGTCGGGTACCTGGCGGTGTACCTTCTTATCCGAATCCATACAGATGAGCTTTCGTGAGATAGGATCGCAAAAAGAAAAATTGTGTGTAACGAGCGGTGGTGAACCGACTTCTTCTTCTCAAAAAATTCCCTATCAGATATTTAACTTTCCAATTTTCTTTCTTATTCATCGTTTTCTCTGTTTCCTATACCCAGTGGGCGTGAGTTCGTTGTTATGTTTGAGGGAGGTGGTGTGCCACTCGTCGATTGATAATTTGTGTAGTAATTTTTCTTATTGTAAATGGAAAATCGGAAAGAAGACTGTCCTGATGATGAATTGAACCCGGTATTTGAGCCAATACTCCAGCTAATATTCCATACAGACGATCAACAATAAAGAATGAAGCATATAAATACTAGACAGGCCGATAAGTCCTAGCAGCAGCAGCAGCAGCAATAAGTACATAGTACGCAATAGAAGGTATCAACACTGATATAAAACGCCCAAAACAACTAGCTTATATGAATAATCCATCCGACTAGTAATCGCCGAGTGAGGGTAAAAACAACAGGACTACCTGCCTGACTGCCTGCTTATGTCTCATGCTCTCTCTCTCCCGTTCCTATGTACAATGTCTTCAGCATCCAACCCAAGCGAACGACACCTAAAACCCAGCCGTCTGCGTACGATACTCCCTGAAGCTCGAAATCGGGGGAAGTTCATCCGCCGGCTGCGTCTTCGCTTTCTTATCTTTACTCTTCTCCGCTTTCTCTCTCCGAACCTTCTCCTCCCACTTACTTTCCTCGGCGGCGATCATGGAGTGGAAGCGTCCGCCCTGGCCGCGCGCAAGATAGATAGGTTTTTCGTTCCGCTCCGCGACGGATTCGGTGACCAGGACGAATTTGACGCTCGAACCGGGGGTTTCGAACATTGCGTCGCTGAGGATGGTCTCTAGTTCGGTGCGGAGGGCGCGCGCGCCTGTGCCCATTGTAAAGGCGTTGGCGGCGATCTTGTGCAAGGCCGGAGTGGTGAAGCGGAGCTCGATGCCGGAGAGGCTGAAGAGGGTGGTGTATTGGGCTAGGAGGGAGTTGCGGGGTTCGGTGAGGATGCGCACGAGCAGAGGGGTGGTTAGGGTGGAGAGGGCGGCGGTGACGGGAACGCGGCCGACTAGTTCGGGGATGAAGCCGTAATTTTGGAGGTCGGTGGGGTTGAGGAGGTCGAGGGCGTTGAAGTAGGTTGGTTCGCTGTCGGGGGAGTTGGGAGAGGTGGCCGAGGCGAAGAAGGGGAGGTGCTTTTTGTATAGGGCTTCTTCTTCGGATCCCGGAAGGATGGGGATTGGTTCGTTGTTGCCCGGTGCGTGGTCGCGAGATCGATTGTTTGTGAGGGCTGAGCCGCGGACAGGTTGACCGAAGCCGATTGATCCCCGAGATATCCGGTCCATGATTACCTTGTGTAACCCGACGAAGGCGCCGGAGAAGATGAAGAGGATGTTGTCTGTGCGGACGTTGTAGACCTCGCCCTTCTGGGGCATGTTTCCGCCATTGGGGTTGAATGGAGAGTTTCCTAGCGGGTTGTTGGAGGGAAATGTATTGGGGGAGTTGCCGACACGAGGTGCGCTTCGTTCTTGTTTCGCTTGTACTTGTACCGTTGTGCCCTCGATGAGCTTGAGGAGGGCTTGTTGTACTCCTTCACCACTGACGTCCTTCCCGTGGCTGACCTTCGCTGCGGCAATTTTGTCCACTTCGTCCAGGACGATTATGCCGCGCTCCGCTTGTTCAACGTCGTAGTTCGCAGCGGCCAGAAGCCTATGTACGCATACTTCTGCATCCTCTCCGATGTAACCTGCCTGCGTAAACGGTGTGCAGTCCGAAATGCTGAATGGGACGGATAGAATCCTCGCCAGTGTCTTTGCCATAAGTGTCTTTCCAACGCCGGATGGTCCCAGTAGAAGGATGTTGGATTTCTCCAGTTGTAACTCCGACGAATCATCAAGTCCAGGCTGCGCTGATGTAGGCAATGTACCTGCTTCGGGGGTTGTATTGACGGTTTGTTGCTGACCTGGGAATTCGTCTGACTAGCTTAGCTTGGCTCAGGTGTTATGACAGGCAATGGAATACGGATAACCTACCTTCGACCGGGTGATGCTCAATCGCCTCTCTGCGCGCACGTTTCGCTAGCAACTCCGCGTTTTCCTCCTCGCGTCTCTGCAGCTCTTGTACCCGTTGATAGTGGTTGAATACCGCGACACTAAGTATCTTCTTTGCACGGTCCTGGCCAACGACGAACTGGTCTAGGTACTGCTTCAACGTTCTGGGGGTCACCCGAGGGGCTCCGAAAGCCGGAGCTGACGCAAGTGGCCCTGTTGTTGGGAGATCCGGTTCATAACTGCCAGTCCACGGCTGGTTTGTGAAATCTGAGCGATCGAATTGAGACCAGGTAGGGAAAGTGGCTGATGAGCTGGTGAATCCACGGCGAACAGGGTGGATAAGCGGCTTCGGCGCATGCCGATAGCGGAAGGGAGAGTTGCGGTGCGCCCTGAGGAGGCCACGGGCCTGTACAGGCAACCGTAGCATGGCCAAGCGCAGTGATCTCTGCAGGAGGAGAGTGCTAATGTGAAGATATGGGAAGGATCAAAAAAGAAGCTTGTGTGTAAGGGAGAGAGGGAGAAGGAAGGCAGAGGGCAGTCGAGGACCGTCACCTCCGATGGCAGCAGATAAGATGCAATACAATCAAATCAAACTAAATCGGGCGATAGCTTTCCCCGCAGCACGTGATGCTTATCGCCGACGGTATCCGCGGATGACGTGGTTGAGATGGGCTTGTCTGACACGATCAAGTAAGGTTTGGACGCAGATGGATCCGTTAGTGGAAGAACTCTGGAAGACGTGTTGAGCTTCGTGCTTTGTGTTTCTGAGGTTGTGAAACATCGGGGCGGTTGAGGACTCGTGTTTCGTCATCTGGGAGCTTCCAAGTGCGACGAGCGGTGGCGGTCCCGATCGTCGCTCCCGTCAGTCCCAGGCACCGACTTCGCTAATGCGGATCTGTGCCATTCTAGTCCAGTAAGGCATGTGGTCTTTATTAATGACCCGAATAAGTGCTACATGTGAGATTCTCGATAGAATAGCATAGATCTGTTTGGCATAAATTGGGAAGACATCCTCTATACTTCCCCATATTCCATTGTTTCATTTGAAAAAGACGCAAGTCTGCCAGGAAGCATTGAGCTACTAATTGTACCGAACCTTCCTCTTGACCCAATGGCCTTGAATATGCTTACATAGATTCCTGTAAGCTTCGTCCATTTGACAAATGTGTCAAGGTCGTATCGTACATTTAGTTTAGGCCAACTGAACGGTTCCGTACTTTTCATGACACTGGAAGTTTGTAGTCACGGCTGCCATTCTTCCAATTGAGGCGTCTATACTGGTTATTCGCCTGGGGCGCCCTGTCAACATGGGAAAGCGATAACCCTCAAGTGCCTCGTACGCGGTAGCCCGGAGCGTCAACTGAGGGGGGAACCAGCGGCATTTTGACTCTGCCACAGATTATACTGGAAAGCGGTTTGTTACAGCAACCGGCTGCAACTTGTGCCAACTGCCACCCAGATTGAAAAGGAGGGTTGAGCGAGTTGCGCTCGAGACAATCCATATTCCAATATTCCGACAATCTAGCTGCTTGATTTGAACGCAGGCTGCTGCTCCATAGTTTGAGATATAAAGTTCCGCAGGGCCGCCCATCGATTGGAGACCGAGCCTTCATCTGTGTTGCTGTTGGAGTCGGTAGCGGTTGGCGCTGGTGCTTGCATGCTGGACATCTGCGCCATATTCTTCGCAAACCGATCGCGCTCCAGCCGTTCCAGCTTCTCCCGACGCTTCATAGCACCCGGTCTATGCTGCAGGGTTTTCTGCTTAATGATATTAACCTGTTTGCTAGGGTCGGCGACATCGTCGTCGGCGTCCGGAAGCGCATCAGCCAACGAGTCCAGAGCAGCAAGTTTCTTGGAGGCACGCCGGCGCTTTGTAGATTTCTGAGAGTTCTTTTCTATCCGCGACACAAAGCTACTGTGCTTGATCAAGCGCTTGTCCTTTTTCGTGGTGCGGAACTCATCGTGGAGAAAGCTGGGCTTAGACGACGGAAGAGCGCCTTTCCCACTTGCGGGCTTCTTGACGGATCGAGTAGGAGCCTGTATAGGTTAAGAAAAAGCATTGGTAAGTATACGTGCATGCATGATATCAACTAGGGGAAAGCTTACCATGATGGGGAGAGATGCGTTGTTTCTCCGTTCGGGGAACAAGACGAAAAAAGCCTTGCATGTGCTTCACGAAAACCGAATTCTTCGTTGATTCCGATGGGGTAGCGCGGACTAATCCGGAAGTGCACTAGTCCCCAACCGAAGACCCGATAGTGAGTTCTGTCTCTACTTTGGAATATGTGTGGCTCACCGCCCAGGTGACTTATCTCATAGTACTGGGCCTCACCGACTTGGCCGAGTCTAATTATTGAACCATTGAACCTGAGGCAAATAAATCCCACCCCCTTCCCGGTCTAGTTCGCGGTCCCTGGTAGCCGTCTTCAGTCAAAGATCACTCGCGCTTTGTCTTGCGCCAGCCATTCGGGTTCCATCCTGTGCTACATTAAGGCTGACAAGAATTCCCAACGGTGGGACCAACAATTTAGTAGCAAGGCACTAGACCTGAACAGGCCGACCGTAGTCCAAGGCCATAGAAACTGGATCGTCATATTTCCATCAGAATCTTTCCCCCTGCTCCTGGTCCAGTTTTCTTGCGGGAGGCAAAGATCCACATTCACGGGTTCCGAACCCGCCTTTTTATCTTGCACTTGCCTGGCTCAGTGGCTCACTTACATCAGGGCACCACCACACCGACGCCGGTTCGATAAGATTGCCTTCTCATTTGCGGCCTTGCATGTGGATGCTGTCTCCAGCGCGCCTTTTATCTCGCCGGACGTGCCCTTTTCCATCGAGGACTACTGTGCCTGTGACTCTACCTCGGCCCCCGACCGTCTATCACCTCCTGCCTACCCCATTGAGTCGGGAATTTTCGCCGTGTCTATCACCTTCCACAGCATATAAGCCTCGAGGGCCTGTCGCAGTCCGCTACTACTCGCATAGCCCTTTTCATTCGTCGATCATCCCCGCCAATACCGAAGCAACAATGGGCTCTCTCGGACCGTACCAGCGCAAACACAAGATCACTGTGGTGGGATCAGGAAACTGGTATGTGCAAGATGGCTTTTCGTCATGGCGCTAGTGCCAGGAAAGAGGGAAAGGGCTGACTTGGGTCATGTCTAGGGGATGCGCAATCGCCAAAATCGTCGCCGAAAATGCCGCCAGCAACCCCGCAATTTTCGAGGAGAAGGTTGAGATGTGGGTTTTTGAGGAGAAGGTGGAAATCTCCAAAACGTCCCGGCACTATGATCCCTCTTCACCGCTGTGCCAGGGCCCACAAAACTTGACGGATGTGATTAACCAAAAGCACGAGAACATCAAATACTTGCCTGGAATTACTCTCCCCTCCAACCTGCATGCTAATCCCTCGTTGGTTGACGCAGTCAAGGATAGTACCATCCTTGTCTTCAACCTGCCCCATCAGTTTATCATCAAGACTTGTGAGCAAATCAAGGGCAAGATCCTGCCCTATGCGCGGGGTATCTCCTGCATCAAGGGTGTTGATGTGAACGAAGAAGGTATCCATCTCTTCTCGGAGACCATTGGCAAGATCCTGGGTATCTACTGCGGTGCTCTATCTGGCGCAAACATCGCGAGCGAGGTCGCACTGGAAAAATGGTCCGAGTCAAGCATCGCCTATGATCCCCCGCACATGGATTCCAAGGCGCCATCTCCCAATCGTTCCCCGTCTACTTCGACCGAGAATCTCGTTCAGTTTGAGCACAAGGATGTTTCCGGCCAACTATCGCAAGTAAAGCTGCAAGCGCTGCCGTCCGACTACCCCCCTGTGGACCACGCGGTCCTGAAGTCGCTCTTCCATCGCCCGTATTTCCATATCCGTGTGGTGAGTGATGTCGCGGGCGTGTCGCTTGGAGGCGCCCTTAAGAACGTAGTTGCTCTTGCTGCCGGCTGGGTCGACGGCATGGGCTGGGGTGACAATGCCAAGGCTGCCATCATGCGGGTTGGCCTTCTCGAGATGGTCAAGTTTGGTGAAAAGTTCTTCGGGGCCACCATCAATACTCGAACCTTCACCGAGGAGAGTGCAGGTGTTGCCGATCTGATTACTAGCTGCAGCGGTGGCCGGAACTTCCGCTGCGCAAAACTCAGCATTGAGAGAAAGCAGTCGATCGAGAAAGTCGAGGAGACGGAACTCAACGGCCAGAAGCTCCAGGGTACTTTGACTGCGGTTGAGGTAAACAATTTCCTGAAGAAGCAAGGCCTTGAGGAGGAGTTTCCCTTGCTTACGGCTGTGTACCGTGAGTAACCCCGTTCTTTTGCTCTTTATTGATGGTTTTTGCCTTCGATATACTGACCATAAAATAGGTGTTCTCGAGGGCAGTATGTCCGTTGAAGATATTCCTTCTTACATTGAGCGGTAAATTGGACCTGTTGATCCTCTCCTTTGGTTTATGTTCGGGTTGTTAATTTAGGGAAATATGTTCCTTTTGTGTCTTAACAGAAAGCCGGAGTCTATCTCTTACGTTGAAACGGGGCGGGTGACCAGCAGTGGAACCAGCCAGGCAGTTTTGAGCGCCAGGTTGTGAACGGGGGCAGGATTCATGCATTACCCCCTCCTCTTGTGTTTTCCCCATCCTTGTCACTTTCCTTCCTTTCTTTCCACCAACTTGTCTATCTTTATCACCATCTATCTTTTTGGGGGAAGCGTTTGTTGGTAGGTATACTTTGTCGAGATTTTCTCATGCACATAGACCGATGACTATAGACCGCAATGACACCGGAATGTCTGAATCTTCTTCATTTCTATCACATCCACGCCAGTAATGAGCTGTACAATTGCCAGATCATCAATGGCCTGACCGGGGCTATGAGGGGAGGCCAACAAGAAAAAAGAGGAGGCGTGCGGAGGCCCGTGTTCTCGCCCGGGCCGTTCCAGCCCGCCTTCTTTCATGATGTCAGTGATCCCGCGGGGTTGCCCTGGACCTCCCAGGAACAGGAAACCTTGGTCGGCCTTGCTTCTCGTCCAGTTGTTCTTTTCCTCATAAATAGCCAGCGACCTCTGTGCCGTGGCTACACGGTGTCGTTTCTAGGAGGACATCCTGCCTTCATATCCATTCATCTCCGTTCCTTGGTTAGTCTGGCCGGCAATTCACCAAGAGTAGCGCCGCTAGACTCACCATTGTCACCAACTCTCGTCGAAGCTCTTTCCGAAGCTCCTCTACCCTGTGACAGATAGTATCATTCGAGTTCACAATGTCCTCTCCACAGCAGGTTTATCTGCTGCCTCTGAAGGATGATGGATCGCCCGATGTTCCTGGAGGATACCTCTACCTCCCTTCTCCCACGGACCCGCCATACTTGCTTCGCTTTGTCATTGAAGGCAGCAGCTCAATCTGTAGAGAGGGTGCTTTGTGGGTCAACATCCCCGAGAAGGGTGAATCTTTCAATCGGTCTGCTTTTCGGAGCTTTAGGTAAGAGAAATGAATGGTTACAAGTTTATCAACCTTTGACATTTTCCATAAATCTAGCCTATCCCCGGATTTCAACAAGAACATTCAAATTGATATCCCCATCACCTCTGCGGGTTCCTTCGCCTTCTATGTGACCTTCTCCCCGCTTCCTGAGTTCTCCGTCCTATCAACACCCACCCCAGAGCCAACGAGGACTCCAACCCACTATATCGATGTCTCACCCAAGTTGACTCTTCGCGGTCAAGATCTTCCACTCAATGCTCTTTCTATATACTCTGTGATCTCAAAGTTCATGGGACAGTATCCCAAGGACTGGGAGAAGCACCTCAACGGCATTAGCCAACGTAATTACAATATGGTTCATTTTACGCCCCTGATGAAGCGCGGAGCTTCGAACTCACCTTATAGCATCTTTGATCAGCTGCAATTCGATGACGCCGTGTTCCCCAATGGTGAAGACGATGTTGCGCGTCTTGTTTCTAAGATGGAGGATGAATATGGGCTTTTGTCGCTTACGGACGTTGTATGGAACCACACTGCCCATAACAGCAAATGGCTGGAGGAACATCCAGAAGCTGGTTACAGTGTCGAAACTGCCCCATGGCTTGAGGCAGCGCTGGAGCTGGACACTGCACTGCTGAAATTCGGCCAAGAACTCTCCACTCTTGGGCTGCCCACCGAGTTTCATACTGTGGACGAATTGATGGAAGTCATGAATGCTATGCGGGACAAAGTCATTTCTGGAATACGACTATGGGAGTTCTATGCCATTGATGTGAAGGCTGACACACAGAGAATACTCGATCAATGGAAAACATCCAAAGACCTTAATCTAACAGACAAGAAATGGGCGCAACTCAACCTTTCAGACTACAAGAACTGGACTTTGAAACAACAAGCAACTTTCATTCGAGAATACGCTATACCCACCTCGAAGCAGGTCTTGGGGCGGTTTAGCAGAGCTGTTGATTTGCACTTTGGGGCAGCTATACTGACAGCCCTTTTTGGTCCGCACGATTCTCCGACATCTGACACTAATACAGTCGAGGAGAGTCTGTCCAAAATACTCGACGAGGTCAATCTTCCATTCTATGAGGAGTACGATGGAGACGTCTCAGAGATTATGAATCAAGTCTTCAACCGGATAAAGTATCTAAGGATTGACGACCATGGTCCCAAGCTCGGCGCCGTCACGGCACAAAGCCCTTTAATTGAAACGTACTTCACGAGGCTGCCTTTGAACGATGTTACCAAGAAGCACAAGAAAGGGGCGCTGGCTCTGGTGAATAACGGTTGGATATGGAACGCTGATGCTCTGAGGGACAATGCGGGGCCCGACTCTAGGGCTTATCTGCGACGTGAAGTAATCGTCTGGGGCGATTGCGTGAAGCTGAGATATGGCAGTTGTCGTGACGATAATCCTTTCCTCTGGGATTTCATGACAGACTACACTCGTCTTATGGCCAAATATTTCTCAGGATTTCGCATTGACAATTGCCATTCGACACCATTGGTGGTTGCCGAGTACCTGCTAGATGAGGCACGCAAAGTTCGACCCAATCTGACCGTTTTCGCAGAACTATTCACTGGCTCGGAGGAAGCTGACTATATATTTGTCAAACGTCTCGGCATAAATGCGCTCATCCGTGAAGCCATGCAGGCCTGGAGTACAGGGGAACTGAGCCGTCTTGTTCACCGTCATGGCGGACGTCCGATTGGTAGTTTCGATCTTGACTTGCCTTCTTCGGGTAGTAGTCATGCGATTGCGTCTTCTGGTCTTGACTCCGGCAAAGAGAAAGTTGCTCATATCCGACCTACACCAGTTCAGGCCTTATTCATGGATTGCACCCATGACAACGAGATGCCTGCGCAGAAGAGAACCGCAAAAGACACTTTACCAAATGGCGCTCTGGTGGCCATGTGTGCCTCAGCCATTGGCAGCGTCATCGGCTACGATGAAGTATATCCCCGGCTTGTCGATCTCGTCCATGAACATCGGCTATACTTTTCTGAATTTTCAGAAGCCCCCGAGACTGGGTTAAACTCTCTTGAGGGAGGAATAGGAGGCATCAAAAAACTACTCAATGACCTTCATACTAGAATGGGTGTTGAAGAGTATGATGAAACACACATCCATCATGACGGCGAGTATATCACAGTGCACAGGGTGCATCCTAGAACACGGAAGGGTGTTTTCTTGATTGCACATACAGCCTTTCCTGGTCAAGACGGAAAATCGGTTTTGGCGCCCACACATCTTGTCGGTACTCATGTCAAGCATATCGGGACGTGGCTCTTAGAAGTTGATGCAAGCCAAACTACTAAGGAGCGGATACAAACAGACAAATCCTATCTACGAGGCTTGCCGAGCCAAGTTAAAACGTTTGAAGGTACCAAGATCGAGGAGTCTGGCAAAGATACCATCATATCTGTTTTGGATTCTTTTGTTGCCGGGTCTATTGCCTTGTTTGAGACGTCCATGCCGAGTGTTGAACATGCAAGTGGACTGGACAATTATATCACCGAAGGCGTGGATCATGCATTCTCGGATCTCAGCTTAGTTGATCTGAACTTCGCGCTTTACCGCTGCGAAGCAGAGGAGAGAGACTCGAGTAAGGGCCAGGACGGGGTTTACGACATCCCCGGCCATGGGCCTTTGGTCTATGCCGGTCTACAGGGGTGGTGGAGCGTGCTTGAGAACATCATTAAATACAACGAACTCGGCCACCCACTGTGTGATCACCTGCGAAATGGACAGTGGGCTCTGGACTATATTGTGGCTCGCCTGGAGAAGCTGGGCCACACGGACGAACCCACTGCCCTTGGCAGGCCAGCTGCATGGCTTCAGGAAAAGTTTCAAGCCGTCCGTCAGCTGCCAAGTTTCCTTTTACCCCGGTACTTTGCAATAATCGTTCAGGTTGCCTACAATGCTGCCTGGAAGCGAGGAATTCAACTTCTGGGACCGCACATACAGAACGGGCAAGAATTCATTCATCAATTAGGTATGGTGAGTGTCCAACAAACTGGATATGTGAATTCAGCGTCTTTGTGGCCCACGAAGAAGGTACCCAGTCTTGCAGCTGGCCTACCACATTTCGCGGTAGACTGGGCAAGGTGTTGGGGTCGCGACGTGTTCATTTCACTCAGAGGCCTCCTTCTCTGCACAAGTCGCTTTGAGGATGCCAAAGAGCATATAACTGCATTTGCGAGTGTATTGAAGCATGGCATGATCCCGAATCTTTTGAGCAGTGGGAAGCTCCCGCGCTACAATTCTCGGGATTCTGTTTGGTTCTTCCTGCAATCCATCCAGGATTACACCAAAATGGCACCAGATGGTTTGAGGCTTCTGGATCATAATGTTCCCAGGCGTTTCCTACCATACGATGATGTATGGTTCCCGTATGATGACCCTAGGGCCTACTCGCAACATTCGACGATATCCGAAATAATCCAGGAGGTCTTACAGCGACATGCACAAGGACTCTCCTTCCGGGAATACAACGCGGGACCTGACCTTGACATGCAAATGACACAGGAAGGTTTTCAGATTGATGTCAAAGTCGACTGGGAAACAGGACTGATATTCGGTGGCAGTCAATACAATTGTGGGACATGGCAGGACAAGATGGGTGAGAGCGCGAAAGCTGGTAACAAAGGCGTACCTGGTACGCCACGAGACGGGGCAGCCATTGAGATAACCGGGCTAGTGTACAGCGCCTTGACCTGGGTTGCTGAACTGCACGAGCGAGGCCTTTACAAACATGATGGAGTCGACATTGGCGATGGGAAATCCATCTCTTTCAAGGAGTGGGCGTCAAGAATTCAGGCCAACTTCGAGCGCTGTTACTATGTTCCTCTACAGCCAAAGGACGATGGCCAGTACGACATTGACGCAAACATCATCAATAGACGGGGAATTTACAAGGATCTGTACAGGTCTGGTAAGCCAT